ATAAATTCATTTACCAATTTGATAAGATTTAAGCTATTCAACTGCCAACAAGATTACAAATATTTCAAGTATAGCATACTTTTGGGTCCTAGACTACCCGGACTTACACATAATAGTAGCTACTGACGGACTCTCGTCACTTACGTAGCCCCTACAAATAGGAGCACATAACAATTTATATCACCTATGGGGACAATTCCCTCTTACAAGGTTAGAAAGGAGACTCACCTCGCTCCGAAGATCCATAACTAGCATTCCACGCTCTTTTGAGGACTCGAATCGATGCACAATGCTCCAAAACTAGCCAATAATTATGCAAATCCATTAATATATGTTCAATTACTCATTACAATCCAATTTATAAAAATTTCTAACCCCGATCGAAAAGTTGACAAAATTGCCCTCGAGCCCACATGCCCGGATTCCAAAATTTTTCGAAGATAAAGTTTACCCATGAACTCACGAACTCAAATATATGATTTTTCCTTAATTTCATACCCAAAATCGTGGTCAAAATCCAAGAATACGAATTTTCTAGGTTTTCCTCAAACCCCCAAATTTCTACCAATTTACATGCTAAAATCCATACATAATCAATATATTTAGCTCAAGATAGGTGGGGTTAGCTTACCTTGTCATTGATGATGAAAACCCCCACTTGAAGCTCTCCAAAATCGTCCACACCAAATGAAAATGGGGGAAAAATGACCAACCCCTCGATTTTAAAATAACTTACTGCCTCCAGCACTTCCGCACATGCGGTCACACGACCGCTTCTGCGGTTCCGCAGGTGCGGCCCCTCTACCGCTCCTGCAGTTTCTCTCCAGGCTGCCCTGTCCGTTTCTGCACCTCAACACCCGCAGGTGCGGTCCCGCTTCTATGGCGAGATGACCGTATCTGTGGTCCTTACANTTTCAAGGCCTCGAAAGCACGGAACAAGGAAGAACTACGGTGATGACCCTTCGGGTCATCACAGCCGAGGTCGTACAGACCGATCTAACATAAATATAAAATGTGCACTGTTGAGGGTCGAACGGTGCGAACCATAGATGCATCTATTACCCCGCTCGCGAATCATACATGCGACACGATCAACACAAATAAACAAACACCCTACTCGTGAATCATACATGCGACGCATGTACACAAAGAAATATATGCTCAAACAGCAAATTAAGAATTTATCGGGGAACATTTATCCAAATAAAAGCCAATTCTCTTTTAGCGATTTAAGAAAATGAAAGTTTAATCCTTTTAGAAATTCATTTACCAATTCGATAAGATTTAAGCAATTCAACTGCCAACAAGATTACAGATATTCCAAGTATATCATGCTTTTGTGTCCTAGACTACCCAGACTTACATATAATAGTAGCTACGCACAGACTCTCATCACCTCGTGCGTACGTAGCCCCCACAAATAGAAGAATATAACCAATTATATTACCTATAGGGACAATTCCCTCTTACAAGATTAGAAAGGAGACTCACCTCGCTCCGAAGATCCATAACCGACATTCCACGCTCTTCCGAGGACTTGAATTGATGCACAATGCTCCAAAACTAGCCAACAATTATGAAAATCCATTAATATATGTTCAATTACTCATTACAATTTAATTTATAAAAATTCCTAACCCTGATCGAAAAGTTGACAAAATTGCCCTCGGGCCCACGTGCCCGGATTCCAAAATTTTTCGAAGATAAAGTTTACCCATGAACTCACGAACTTAAATATATGATTTTCTCTTAATTTCATACCCAAAATTGTGGTCAAAATCCAAGAATACGAATTTTCTAGGTTTTTCTCAAACCCCCAAAATTCTGCCAATTTACATGCTAAAATCCATACATAATCAATATATTTAGCTCAATATAGGTGGGGTTAGCTTTCCTTTTCGTTGATGATCAAAATCCCCACTTGAAGCTCTCCAAAATCGTCCACACTAAATGAAAATGGGGGAAAAATGACCAACCCCCCGATTTTAAAAGAACTTACTGCCTCCAGCACTTCCGCACCTACGGTCACACGACCGCTTCTGCGGTTCCGCAGGTGCTGCCCCTCTACCTCTCCTGCGGTTTCTCTCCAGGCTGCCCTTTCCGCTTCTGCGCCTCAACACCCGCAGGTGCGGTCCTGCTTCTGCGGCGAGATGACCGCATCTGCGGTCCTTAGACTCCCATCCATTTTCCTCTTCTGCGACACAAGGGCCACTTCTGCGGCTCCGCACCTGTGGCCCAAGTCTCGCAGGTGCGGTTACACCAGCAACCAGCAACTTCAGCTCTTCCTCCAAGTTCCAATTCGATCTGTTAACCACCCGGAATCCACCCGAGGCCCCCGGGTCCCCGACCAATCATACCAACTAGTCCCAAAACACATTACGGACTTGCTCGAGGCCTCAAATCATATCAAACAACGCTAAAATCATGAATCGGCCTACAATCCAAGCTTAAATGAACTTTGAAATTTCAAACTTCTACATTTAATCCCGAAACCCGTCAAATCACGTCCGATTGACCTCAAATTTTGCACACAAGTCGTAATCGATATTATGGACCTACTCCAACTTCCGGAATCAAAATCTGACCCCGATATCAAAAAGTCAACTCTCGGTCAAACTTTCCCAAAAACCTTCAAATTTCTATCTTTAGCCAAATGACTCCAAAATGACCAACAGACCTCCGAATTCACTTCTGATCGTGCTCCAAATACCAGGATCACCATACGGAGCTATTCCCAAACTCGGAATCCCAAACGGACATCGATAACACTGAAATGCACTTCAACCCAAACTTATGAAATTTCTTCCAAAATGCTAACTTCCACAATAGGCGCCAAAACGCTCCCGGATCATCCAAAACCCGGTCCGGGCATACGCCCATGTCCGAAATCATTATACGAACCTTTTGGAACCTTCAGATCCTGATTCCAAGGTCGTTTACTCTGAAATCCAATCTTAGTCAATTCTTTCAACTTAAAGCTTCTAAAATGAGAATTCTCTTTCCAAATCAACTCCAAACTTCCCAGAATTCAATTCCGCTCGTGCGCACAAGTCATAATACCTGAAATGAAGCTGCTCATTGACTCAAACTGCTGAACGACGCGCTAGAGCTCAAAAAAACCGTTCGGGGCATTACATTACATAAGTCATAATACATCACACGGGGCTAGTCATGCCCGAGAACTGGCGAGCGAAGTGCAAAAGCTCAAAACAACCGATCGGGTCGTCACAATACTCTACATAACCATTGGGTGCAGTATTTTATGCATTTTTAACCACAAATTATATTATATGTTGGGAGTTGTGTTACAGTAATTAGAGAATTTATACTTATCCATTATACTGGAGTCTAATTTTGATTTTTTTTCTGTATATTATACTGGAGTTCTATATATATAACAGAAATGTGTAAAACACAGAAAATTTTTATCCAAAATAAATTGCTGGAATATGATACACATTGCTTTGTATTACGTAATAAATATGGTATTTTATGATTTAATAACTATTTTTATGACGTAACATGCAAGTGATTCTAATATAGTTTCCTATAATATTTCATTATTTCGTCTGCATTGTATTACTTTATTAGGTACAGTCTTTGATGCATTTTCAATCACTAAAATTTATTTATATTTTACATTGGGAGTTGTGTTACAGTAATAATTACATTTTCACTCTTTTGATAAAATTGTGATTCATGAATCTTTATGTTTACTCGTGACGTTCAATTTGCCTTCTGTCTTTTCATATACACTGTAGAAATTTTTTTCTGCTATATAAGTAGGCTATGGTTTGTCGATTTATTCACTCAAACGCATCTAGTTTTAATACACAAAACAGAAGAAATAACAAAAAAATAGATGTCGTGATCAAAACCATAATTGATGAAATGAAACAAGATATTATAGAAGCATTTGAGATGAAGTTTGAAGAGTTCATAGAGAAGTATGAAAGGGATTTAAGAAGAATCAAGGACAAGCTGGATAGGCTGGAGAGGATTGCCCGAGATGGCGGTTCTGATGGCTCTGGAGGATATAGTTCCTTTGACACTGACGATATGAATGATTAGTTTTTTTATTTTATGTTCTTTTTTTGGTGTATAAACCTTTAAACTCCAGTAGATTATATTGGAAGTAGGCTATGTTTTGTGGAAGTATCTGGAAGATGGATATGTCGTTTTATTTTCTATTAATATAATATGCTTTTGTTTAAATCTTTTTCTGCCTTACTTTTTGATAATAATTCCTCTTGAAATTCAAGAAATAATTGAATAATGACTAAACTTTTACGGTTAGATATGTGAAAAAATCAAACAATCCTGCATATAGTACTGGAAGCTATATAACCCGGTATATTATAATGGAGAGAAGTGTAAAATAGTGCAAAATTGGTATCTAGAACAACTTACTAGAATTAAATAATTTAAAATTTTATTTCCTGTATATTTTGCTGGAGGTATACATTGCGAAACCATAATGTCCAGTATTTAATACTGGATGTGCACAATCCAGATTTTTTACCCTAAGTTTGACCGAGTTATTAATTGAAATAAAGTTTTAAGGATTGAAAATTATAACTTCGATGGTGTGTTTTTAAGTATAATATGTTAGATTTAATAATTTTGCTAATGCAACTCTTGTTGGAGTTCTTATTTTGGTTTCTTCCTGTAAATTATGCTGGAAAAGCTAGTTATTAAGCTATATAGGCCAGTATATTATAATGGAGATGTGTAAGACAGTGAAAATTTTATATCTAGTATAATTTGCTCGAATTAAATTATTTAAAAGCTTGTTTCCTGCATATTATTCTGGAGGTATATCACTTGAAAGTATAATCTCCTGTATTTTTTACTGAATGTGTACAATGCAGATTTTTTTTAATATAACTGTAGGAAATCAAGAAACAAAAAAAATAGACATTAATAATATTTTAAAAAACAAGAATACCAAACAAATTATTCGGGATTACAATCAGTTTTTCATATGAGCCAATGCAACCTTATTGTATATAATCAATCATTTTTTCCCTGTATTTTCTTGCATAAGGATGAACTACAGCAGAATTTGTGCAATTTGTTCTGTTATGCCCATATCTTTTGCAACGACCACATCTTGGTTCCATCTTGAATTCTGTACCGGAAACATGTCGATTCTTCTGTCTTTTTCCTAGCATTACTTTTGCATCTGGAGGCTTAGTGATTTCTAATTTAATAGTGTCTGGTATAACCCATGTTGTTGAATCACCTACAGAATTTACTTGCCCTTCATATGTTTTCAACCAAAAGTCCCTTGTATAATAGGCCGAGTAAAGGCCAATTTCTTTTGATATATACTTTCAATTGCAACAATTGCATGTTCACAGGGTATCTCATCTAGCTGAAATTCAGAACAATCACATGTTCTTTTGTCTAGATCAACAATAAATTCCATACCCCCTTCTTTGACATTGAATTTGAGTTGATCAATGGGCAATGCTCTAAATGTAAAAGCTGGTTTAATTTTTTCTTCCAATGTTGCTTCTGCCCAATTTGATAACTCACGGAATATTCCTTCTGCAGTTGTCCTTCTTTCATAGAACCAGCTTTGCAATTTTTCTTGTATGAAATCCATCATTGTTAATAGCGGCAATTCTCTTGCACGTCTCAAAACATTATTCATTGACTCAACAATATTTGTTGTTAACATATCATATCGTCATCTTGGAGAATGTGAACGATCCCGCCTTCCTGGTGGTTCCTCTATCAAATAATTGAATGTTTTCTTATCAACAACAACTATTTGGGATATAAAGTCATCAAATTCTGATTGAAGGTATACTCTTGCAGCACTTTGAAAGAGGTTTATTATAGTACTTCTCACTCTTCTTTGCTTTAGATTCTTTTCTAAATGATATATGCAAATACTATGGTAGCACTCAGGGAAAACTTTTGCAATTCCATTTGCAATGGCCTTGAGTCGATCTGGCAAAAACATTAAATCTGTACGAATCCCAATTACTTTTCTTAATTCACTGAAATACCATTCATATGATTCGTTATTCTCTGAATCCGCTACCCCAAATGCTATAGGGAAAATCTAGTGTCACAACCCTAAACCCGAACCCGATCATGATGGCGCCTCTCGTGAAGACAACACCAACTGACACTTTCTCAATTCATTTTTAAGCAATTAAGTTGTAAGCATGTGATTTTTTCCCAATATGAGAATTACTCCCAAAAAATTCAAAAATAAAATGATTTTCCTTGGTGTGCAATTTTGTGGTATTTTTGTGTAATTATTTGTATGTTTGTCTGTGCNGAACGATCCCAAACCAGTCCATTGCTGCTGCGTCGAGCCCCACTCCATCCTTGCTGCTTCCTCGTCTTCGTTTTCTTTGTCATTACTCCAAGCCAGTCCATGACTACTACCTAGTCTGTGACCTCCAACCATGAATGACAACACACACACACAGTGGGGCGTCCAAATGATGCTGCTATCTCATCGTTCTTCAAGATCAATCCGTCAAGGTCGTCGTTTGTCGTTTTGAGTTCGTCAAGATTAAAAAGGAAGATGGGTTTGTCGTTGAAGTCAAGATCCGCTAGATCGTTAGCAGTCAGTCTTGGTTCGAGTTTTGTTTACAATCGAGTTCGTCGTTGATTCATCTCCGGTTAGTTGGTTTTGAGTTTTATTTTTTATCCGTGTTTCGTTTTGATATTTCTCGAATCTAAAATCGGTAGATATTTGATTTTTGGTTTTGTTCATGTTCATGTGCTTTGTTAAACAATTTAACAAACCAACATGATGGGGTAACCAATATTATTTAACTAAACAATATTTTTACCAAGTTCCTACTAGATGGCCTATTCGTTTTACTTGACGGAGTTACTACACCATTTATTTATTTTTAGGCAATATATAGATAGTTCAATCGTTAAGCTATCGTCGGATGTTCCACTATATGTATTAAATAACTACATGATTCTGATTTTTTGCAAACTAAATAAATTATACATACAAATAAAATTCAGAATATAATTAAAGTAAATTTAGAATTTCAACTCTTCATTTTTCGTATTCATGCTTCATATTCGGATTACAATAACTAGCGTGTCAGTTGTGTACCTGATATTGGAAGCAAAAGAAAATGAAGATGAGAATCAGCAATAGTAATAACAGTACAGCACAGCAACAACAGCCCAGCAACAGTAACAACCCAGGAAAAGAGTTTGCAAACCAGTAGAGCAGTAATCCCAAAAACAAAAGCTTCCAGCTTTGAATGAAACAACAACAATTAATACTGATTTCAAACAAAGAAAGAAAGCAGAAGATTTTTCTTTTAGTTTTTTTTATTTGAAAGCTTAATAAATGTTCAGCCTTTTTTTCTCTCTAGTTCTGTATTCTCTCTTTTCTGTTCTCTTCTTTTCAGATTCGTTTCTCTTATCTGGCGACTCTGCTGGGGACAAACCCAGAACCACTGGTTCAGGGTTAGAAATTCGAGCTTAG